CAAGGTGGCTGTGCCCCACACTGCATCTTGGGTTCCTTGCCCACAGTCCTAGAAGTACACCGTGCTGTACTGGACTTAGCAACGCTTTCTTCAGTGTCCCCTGGCCACTGAGTCACAAGATCAATTTGCCTTCACGTGGGAGAGACAACAGTGGACCTTTCAAGTGCTTCCCTGAGGCCACAGGCACAGCCCCGCCACACATCATGGGATGGCAGCCCGAGCCCTGTCCCTGTTCTCCTTCCCATGTCAGTGAAATGCGCCCATCACATTGACAGTACAATGTTGACAGGTGAAGACTTGCCTCTGCCGCAGGGCACTCTGCAGACTTTGCTGGAACGTCTGCGAGGGAGAGCACGGGCCGTGAACCTGAAGAAAATTCAAGGCCCAAGTACCAAGGCAAAGGTGTTGGGAGTCTTTGATGGCTAAGACGCGTGTGACCCAGAAGCTGCGATTGGCAAGGTGCAAGCCCACCCATCCCTGAGGACGTGAAGGAGGCAAGCTTTGCAGGGATGGGTGGAGGGCTTTACTCCCCGCCTGGCACAGTGCCCCATCCCTTTGCCGCCTGTGAAGGAAGGGCACGTCTGGGGCTGGGGCTCAGAGCCGCCAGCCGCCTTTGAGAGGCAGAAATCCTAGGGGAGCAGATGACAGCTCTGCACCCCCCAAGCAGGCCGTCATCTGAGTTAGATGTCTCTGCGACTCGGAAGGCGTGGTGGGCGCTGTGGTAGAGACAACAGAAGGAGAAAGTCCCCCTAGGATTTTGGTCCCCTCTCTGGAAGGGCGCGGGAACCTGATGGACTCCATAGAGCAACAGCTCCCAGCAGCGTCTGCAGCACTCCTCGCGGTGGAGCCTCTCGCCGAGTAACAGCATAGTGCGGTAAGAAATTCCCTTCCTGTCACAGCAGGTGAGAATGTGTTCCCGTGCCCCACCTCTGCCCTGGCGCACGCCCCCACGTTGACTAAGTGGCGTGCCTGTCTGCAGCAGAGGAGCACCCTGTCCCCCACTGTCTCTAGCAATGTGGGTGCTCCTAGGCCCTGTAGCTTGTGTGGAGCCTCTAAATGCCTCTGCCCCTAACCCTGTGGTGGCCTCTGCAGCCTGTAGAGAAGGAGTGGGGGAGATTCCCGCTGATGCCTGGTGTACAGATGGGTTTAGTAGGGGCAACCCGTCCACGGGAACAGCAGTTGCTATTCAGCCCAACACTGACACCATCTGGATGGAAACGGGAATGACCCACTGCAACCAGCGGGCTGAACTCAGAGTGGTCTGGTTGGTGATCACTCAAGAGCCCTGGCTGTTCACCCTTGGCACTGACAGTTGGGCTGCTCTAAAGGGATTAACCCTTTGGCTTGGACAATGGGAAGCCGGGGGGGGGTGATCATGAATAAGCCTTTGTGGGGTCAGGATATGTGGAAAGACATTTCAGTCCACTTGCCAGAGCCTGAGGTGGCCCTCACTGTTCTCCACGTCCCCACTCATAAGGTGCTGACACCCCCCGCAATCAGGAGGCTGATGCCCTAGCTCCGGTAAAAGCCCTAGAAACTGCCCCTTCAGTAGACACCGCAGACTGTGTGCATAGGAAGAGCAACCATTGCAGTGCCGAGCAGGGCAGGGGCAGAGGGCAGGCAGATGGCGTATTACCAAGGATGCTGATTGCCCTTGAAATACAGTGACTTGGTTAATGCAGTCACAGCACGTCCTGTGTGCTAATCAATGCTCCAGGCCCCCAGTCTGGGGCCGTCCACCAGGGTTCCCAACTGGTGAGGATGGGCAAATTGATTATATTGGCCACTTCCCTCTGAGCGAGGGTTCTAAATATGCCTGGATTGTGTGGACATCGTGTCTGTCTTAACCCAAACTTTCCCTGTCACCATGCAAGCCAGGCTGCCACCATTAGGGGATTAGAGAATCTGAGTTCGACTTCATTGACTAGACAGTGATCGGGGGGAAGGGGTCACATTTTAAGGGTCATGATATGCAAGGTTTGGCAAAAGAAGATGAGATCAAATGGAGGTTCCATCTCCCCTATAACCCACAAGCAGCAGGGTTGGTATGGAACATTAAAGCAGCAGATTAAATTACTAACAGGTAAAACCACTGTGGCCAGGTGGACTAAAGTACTATCACAGGCTTTAATAGATTGGAATGATCAACCACAGGGCCCGTTGCCCCATGTGCCAGACTGGGGACCCCTGCTGAGACAGCCAACACCGTAAAGACATGGAAGTCACGGGAGACAGCCGTTGCCCTGACTCTGACTGTGGATCAACCTGCCGTGCTGCTGAGAATACCAAGCCTGTCACTCCTGGGAAAGGCGTCCTCTACTGGAGTTTGCAATGGGACGTCTCACTGGGATGGGTGAGTTACTTTGCACCCCTGGGTGAGGGGGAAATACTCATTCTCCACTGGGATCCCATTGTCCTGCTGCAAGCCCGACCTGTGGAAACACACTATACCTGAAATTGAACACGCACATCGAAAGAAGGGAGGAGGTGAGGGGTCCTGGGCTGGCATATCCCACCCCCAGGCCATCTCCTCATGCCTCCCTCCGCCAACATGTATGGTATGCACAACCAGGTCAAGTTCCTAAAGCTGCAGGCACATTAACATCTCAGGCTCTGGGCACACTGCAGAAGGGGGGCGGGCATGTGAGATTGCAAGAGCTGGTCACGTGAGGTGGAGTGTTGGAGAAGGTCCTGGAAAGGATGTGACCGTAGGCTGACCCTTGAGCTGCACTCAGCCAATCGGAGACTCATTACCTCCCTCCCCTGTCCTTGGAATGTACCTTCTGCCCACTGTTCTCACACTAGGAGCACTTCAAGTTCACAGCCTTGAAAGACCGTGTGGTTGAGACCATCAGGACTGTACATTTGACTGAGCCGCATTAAGGCCTCTCTATAAACTCTTAAGATTCTGGCAGGTGGGTATGGAGATCTACTCATCTTGTGGCCACCCAAGACAAGCCTCGTATATAAGTTCCTTTGCTTATGAAAACTGCCACCTACCAATCTGGAATGGTCTGCCTGTTTCTTTGATCTCTTCCTCCCCTCCATGTTACAGCAGCCAGTTTTGAATTTCACCTAGGAAGCTCGTGAGGTTGTGAACCAACATTCCTCTTAAGCAATAGGAATAAAGGGTGCTTCAAGGGGAACCCACAGTTTGTTCATTTCTGTATCTCATTATTGGGGCATCTTTTCCAGGACTTTTGTGTCTAACGGGCATTGACATTTGCATTTCATTTAATTTTCATGTCACTAAATATTATTCTTCTTTTGATCCCCCTCCCCCCACCAATCATTTCCAAATATAAAAACCATTCTTAGCTCATAGGTCACACAGAAAACAGGAAGTGGGCCAACCCATGATATTGTAGAAAATCTGAAAATATTCAAGAGTAGATAATATTCTGTTCCCTAGTTTTCCATATTTCCTCCCTGAGGAGTGTAAAAGCATGTCACCATACTAAATACTTTCGTGTCTCATTTTTAAAAACTAATTGTATCTGTGAACAAGTCCTCAAGTTATACCGAAGATTTCACGGCTCATGGTGGTCCATATTTTTCGTTATTTGAACTAACTGCTGACAGAAAAAACAAACAAATGGGACTACATCAAACTAAAAAGCTTCTGGACAGCAAAAGGAACCATCAACAAAACGAAAAGACAACCTAACGATTGGGAGAAGATATTTGCAAACCATATATCTGATAAGGGGTTAATATCCAAAATATATAAAGAACTCATACATCTCAACAACAAAAACACTAAGAACCCAATTAAAAAATGGGCAAAAGATCTGAACAGACATCTCTCCAAAGAAGATATACAGATGGCCAACAGGCACATGAAAAGATGTTCAGCATCATTAATTATCAGGGAAACGCAAATCAAAACTACAATGAGATATCACCTCACGCCCGTCAGAATGGCTATAATTAACAAGACAGGAAACAACATGTGTTGGAGAGGATGTGGAGAGAAGGGAACTCTCATACACTGCTGGTGGGAGTGCAAACTGGTGCAGCCACTATGGAAAACAGTATGGAGATTCCTCAAAAAATCAAGGATAGAACTACCATATGATCCAGCTATTCCACTGCTGGGCATTTATCCAAAGAAGTTGAAAACACCAATGCATAAAGATACGTGCACCCCTGTGTTCATTGCAGCGTTATTCACAATAGCCAAGACTTGGAAGCAACCTAGGTGCCCATCAAGGGACGAATGGATAAAGAAGATGTGGTATATATACACAATGGAATACTACTCAGCCATAAGAAACAATGAAATCTGGCAATTTCTGACAACATGGATGGACCTTGAAGATATTATGCTAAGCGAGGTTAAGTCAGAGGGACAAGGTCAAATAGTGTATGATCTCAGGAATAGAAGACAAAAACAACAACAAACACCTAGAGACAGAGATTGGACTGGGGGTTACCAGAGGGAAAGGGGGGAGGAAGGAGAGTGAAACAGGTGATTAGGCACATGTGTGTGGTGATGGGCTGTAATTAGTCTTTGGGTGGCGAACATGACGTAACCTACACAGAAATGAAAATATGATGATCTACACCTGAAATTTATACAATGATATAAACCAACGTTACCACAATAGAAAAATAAAAAAATAAATTAACTGCTGCATAACCCATGAAAGTTTCCTTTGACCTGACTTCCTAGAACTGGAATTTCCAGTTCTTCATATATCTCGCCCAAATTTCCCAGAAACACAAATTTCCGCGAGCCATTTCGGCTGCAAGCAACTCTCGGGGGAATGCAGATCTTCTTTGCAGTGAGCGAGTCAACCGGCGCTGTGCAGGGACATTTCCGGCGGAAGTTGCTGTGCGTGAGAAGGAAGCGAGATAGTTTTCCGCAAACGCCTCTCAAGGGGGCCCCTGGGCGGGCCATGAGTACGTGGCTTCAGGTCGCCACGCGATTGGCTGGCGGCTTTCCAGGCACGCGCATACGCTCTTCGGCGCCCGCCTTCGCAAGGCCGTCTGGGAGTTGTAGTTCGGACTCTTGCCCGAACGAGGCCGTCGGGCGGCGACTCGGAGGTCCGAGGCAGTCCCCCGCCTTCCGCGCTTGGCTCGGAGGATGGATCCCGGGCCCGGGCCCGACGCAGCGCCGCTGAGTGGCCTGGCCTGGTCGTCGGCCTCGGCGCCCCCGCCGCGGGGATTCAGCGCGGTGAGCTCCGTCAGGAGGCGGGGGTTGAATGGGGGCCGAGGCGGCCGCAGCCGGGTGGGAGCCGGCCGCTGATCCGTGTCCCCCTAGATATCCTGCACCGTGGAGGGCGCGCCCGCCAGCTTCGGCAAGAGCTTCGCGCAGAAATCTGGCTACTTCCTGTGCGTCAGTCCCTTGGGCAGTCTCGAGGTAAGGGGCGCCCACCTTCGGGTTCCCCGGGGTCCGCCTACTCCCCCGTCCATTCGCGTGGCCCTGTGCCAGGCGCGCCGTCCCCGCTGCTGGGTGACTCTCGCTGTCGTGCCCCCCACCCCCCACCTCCCCAGAATCCGCAGGAGAACGTGGTGGCCGAGATCCAGGTTCTGGTGGACAAGAGCCCCCTCCCGCCCGGCTTCTCCCCGGTGTGCGACCCCCTGGACTCCAGTGAGGCCCGCGTCGGAGGCGGGGTGGGGGGTTGCCGTGGCGGGGCGCGTTTGCGTCCCTGCAGGGAGGACCAGGAGGGAATGGAGGGACGACAGGCGCGCGATCTCTGAGCCTCTGCCGCCCCCTCGATGCACTGGGTGATGACGGGTTGGCTGAAGACTTGGAGCCCTGTTCCAGGGCGGGGCGACGTGCCCTGCCCTGCCCTGCGTAAAAATGCGATTGGCACAGCCTGTACTAGAGTAAGAATTCCGTCTACGCGAGCCGTTTTATTACTGTCATTGCTACATCTTCTTACGTGTAGCCAAGCTGAACCCCGCGCAGTTCTTTTTCATTTCCAGGCTTTTGCACACGCCGTGTCCTCTGCCTGGAACATCCTCTTCCTACCCGTCGGGTTAGCTGATACTTCGTCCTCCCCGCCTCGCCTCTCCTCTTCCGGCTTCCGGAGCGTGGTGCTGCCCTCCAGCCCTGACCTCTCCGCTTTCTAACCACCTGCCTCTCCCTGCCTCCCGCCGTGTCTTGTCACTTAATTTGATTCTCAGGGTATATCTGTTGATACTCGACTTGGCAAACGTTTACTGTAAAGGGCCGGATAGTAAATATTTTAAGCTTTGCAGGCCAGATGATGTCTGTTGCAAATTTATTTTTTTTACAACCCGTTAAAAATGTAAAAACCATTCTTAGCTCTTGAGCCTTACAAAAACAGAGCTCTGGTGGGATTTGGCTCCTGGGCTATAGTTTGCCGACCCCGGAATTAGAGGACTGAGGAAAAATGAGGTTTGGGGGGCCAGGATGGGCTCCCAGTTCTGTCTGATTCCACAGCTACCCCCCCTCGCTGTGGTGCCCACGCCCACCCCATGAATGCTCCTCCAAGCCACCAAAGATGAGCCTGCCCCAATGGCTCCTAAAGACTCCATGGAGTCCCCTCCTATGGCTATTCCATTCATGATTCAACCACCGCCCTAACGCCATCCAGGTGGCTGTCTTAAACAGCGCCCTGGCGAGCATCATCTTGGAGCATCTTTGGGCCCCTTCCCTACTTTTCCCTCTTCTCACTCCCCTGCCCCCCACTCGCAGAGGCCTCCGTGTCCAAGAAGAAACGCATGTGTGTGAAGCTGGTGCCCCTGGGGACCGCGGACACGGCTGTGTTTGATGTGCGGCTGAGTGGGAAGACCAAGACGGTGCCCGGATACCTGCGAGCAGGGTGGGCTGCCCTGCCTCCCGCCTGCCCTCCCAACTCCCATGTCTGCCCTCTGACCCTCAGGGACGCCTTTGAGTCCTCTTGTCCTTTCTGCCTCCTCTCTGTGCCTCAGTTTCCACACATTAAAATGGGGACAGTTGTCCCAACCTCGTAGGGTCATCGTGAGGAGTAAATGTGTTGATGTGTCTGAAGTGTATAGTATGGAGATCAGACCCAGCAGTATGAGTTAGTATGTTGCTTAGGGTGTGGGCTGAGATACTGAAATGAAAATCCCCAAAGGCGGGCTCCCCCAGAGGCCCAGGTCCCGCCCTCCTGCCCGGGCAGTTGGTCTCAGCCCTGGCTGCACACTGAGCCAGAACCACTCCCCTCCCCCCATCTAGGGACATGGGCGGCTTTGCCATCTGGTGCAAGAAGGCAAAGGCCCCTCGGCCGGTGCCCAAGCCCCGGGCTCTCAGCCGGGACATGAGGGGCCTTTCCCTGGACCTGCCCGGCCAGCCCAGGTGAGTCCTCGGGCTCGGGGATGGGGTCGGCCACGGAGGGGTTCAGGCCTGACCCGGGCTGTCCCACCTCCACCAGCAGGGGCAGCTTCCCGGAGCGGGTGCTGTCGAGGCTGGGCTCTCGAGCTTCCACGCTGCGGAGGAGCGACTCCATCTACGAGGCCTCCAGCCTGTATGGCATCTCAGGTGAGCGCTGGGCGGCAAACGGAGGTGCTAGACGGTTGGCGCCACTGGCCCAAGGTCGTGGGGCTAGGAAGGGGCGGGGCCTGGGCTCCCCATTCTGTGAAGACTGGGGCAAACCAGGGCCTTCAGGGTGGGCGTCTCGTGTTGGGTTGGGCAGCAGGCAGGCTTCAGCTCCTTCCCCCCTGTTTTCCTCAGCCATGGATGGGGTTCCCTTCACGCTGCACCCCCGGTTTGAGGGCAAGAGCTGCGGGCCCCTGGTGAGTCTGGGCCCTGGGGAGCCTGAGTCTGCCCTGCCCATCGCCTTTCTAGGCTCCAGGATGTGGGGAGCGTCACCCGTGCATCCAGTGGCCCACCATGGAGGCCCCTGTTCCTGGGTTGGGGGAGGCTGAAGGCCAAGGTGGGGGCTGGAGGGTCTCGGTCCTGGAACATGGGAGTCAGGAGGGACAGCTGGATGCTGGTGGCTAGAGGCTGTGGCAGGAAGGGGGAGGGGATGTTCAGGCAAATATTGAGGGGGACCCTCCTTGAAGATGAGGAAATGAGGGTTCCAGGTTGGGGTCTCTGCTCAAAACTGACTTGCCCCTACCTGCCAGGCCTTCTCTGCATTTGCCGATCTGACCATCAAATCGCTGGCGGACATTGAGGAGGAGGTGGGTACAGGGCCCAGGATGGGGTGCCAGGGGTGCCGGGACTTCCACCAGGCCACTGAGTCTGCCCCAGCCACACAGCACCTCCCACTCAGTCCGTAATCCCCACCCCCTCACCATCCTCCGGCACCCCTGTGGCCGCTCTCTCACTCTGTGCTTTCCCCTCCCCCAGTACAACTACGGCTTCGTGGTGGAGAAGACAGCGGCTGCCCGCCTGCCCCCCAGTGTCTCGTAGCCCTTCGCCAGCCCCAGGGAAGAGCCCCCTGCCTGCCACCTCCGGCCGGGCAGCTGCCCGCGCCACCCCATTTTGGGAACCTTGGTGGTGCAGGGCATTCTGGACCCTCAGCCACCTGGCAGAGCTGCAGCCCTGGAGGGGGGGACCGACCTGTCTGCTTGGTGATGGGGTTTCTGCCCCTGGGCCCTGCAGGGCAGGGGTGGGGGCTGGACGAAACCAGTGCCTTCTAGTCATGCGTGTCAAAACTCTCCTGTGCCTGGAGGCCACGCGGGCGTCCTCCTGGCAATAAACATGGCCCCGTCCCGGCTCTCTGGTCCTGATCCTGGCCATGGCTTCTGCGGCTGGCAGTCCTCACCACGCACACTGAGCAAGCAGGTGAAATCGTGGCATGGAGGCAGCACTGCTGTGGCTCCGTTCACAGAGGGGAAACTGAGGCTCAGCGGGTGCCTGAGCCCGGATTCTAGGTCACAGAAAGGACCTGGGCCCGCCCGCCTGTCCATCATTGCACAGAACAGTGATAACAGTAATGGCCGCCGTTTACCTCACCTGGACCGCATCCCCGTCCCCGAGGCGTTGTCTCATTCTGTCTTCCCACAGCCAGTGGGAGGCCCCGGTTTTGTCGCCAGTTTACAGATAGGGAAACCGAGGCAGGCTAAGGTCACAGCCAGGATTCAAACCCAGAGCCTGCGCTCTTAACCCGCACGCTGTTGAACGCGTCCCTTTTCCTCCGCTGTGTGGTGGATACATGCAGTCGATTCTCATTATTCACGGCAAAATTCTGTAGAATCGGGAAAACTGAGTTAGGAATTAGGGAATACTGGATTCCTGGAGAAATACTGAGTTAGGTTCCCGTGAGCCTCTGGCCACATTCCTCAGGGGTCAGTTCACAGCCTTGGTCTGCGTGCCCCTGTGGAAGGGTGCCCTGTTGTATGTTGTTGATCTGCAGCAGTGACCTCACGGCCAGCAGCGCTGTGACTCGAGCCTGAACAAAGTGGATCCAGCCCTGTCTCCACAGGGCCCAGCCGGCCTCCTCACACGCAGGGACACCAGACAGCACTCTGCACTGTGCTTGGGGCCTTTTTAAACAGCGAAATCACCAACGAAAAGCACAAAAATGCAAAAATCGTGGCACTCAATAGACCTGGGAAAGGGCACTTATCTACATACAGTCTGAGAGCTGGAACCAGAAGGCAGAGCGTCACCTTCTCCAACTCAGATTGTCCCCTGCTCTGTGCGTGTCCTCCCGGGACCACGAAAGCACCACTGAGTGTTGATTTTGAGGTTACAGGTACATTTTAGCCCATAGGAGAATTTCCAAATACAGAATCTGCAAATGGTGCGAGTGGACTGTCTGTTAAGTACGCTGGCCCAGGCTCACACACTCCCGAGTCTGCTGCTTCCTCTCCTGCCCCCTCTGCCAAGGTCTCCGTAGTGCCAGGGTGTACAGGTTCTGCGGCAGTCAGGCTAGCCCCAGATCTCCGTGGCTGAGAAAGGCTAAGGCTTGTTTCTCATCCACACCATGTGCCTGTGGCAGGGGGGCAACAGACTGCTGGTCGTGCTCGAGGAAACATGCCTGAAGGAGTGGCCACCCTGTCGCCAGACAGTGGGAATGGACTCAGAAAAGTCTCCACTGTGAGTTAAGTGCTCTGGCCAGGAAGTGCCTGTCAAAGTTCTGCTCATAGCTCATTGGCCGGAACAGGTCTCTGGCCAGAAGGGATGTACCACCCACCCAGGCACTTGTGTGTAACATTCCCCTGGGGATGTGATGGAAGGCACAGCCCCGCGCTGGGGTCTGAGGGGGAAAACAGTGAGCTGTCCTGGAGGGGAGGTCAGGCAAATTGTGCCGCCTGTCCCACGCACTTGGGCTGCCCTGGAAAAACTAGGTCTCTGGTGCTGAGACATCTCCCCGCATCTCCCCCTCCGGGCACAGCCAGCACCTGCCAGGTCCTGCCCAGGCTGCTCTGGCACCGGCCACAGAATCTGATCCGGCCGGGAAGCAAAGGCTGTTTGTTCTCCCTGGCCGCCTTCTCAGCCATCCCGAGACCAGCCCCGGATCACTTTCCAGGGTGTCGGCATGTGACCGGGGGCTGCTGGATGACCTAGGCTGGCCTCGAATTTGACTGGACCGGCCATCATCGCCGAGCCACTGACCCTGCAAAATCCCAGCCCTCTGAGCCCTGCCGGGCCAGGGACAGCCTCATGAAGGGGCCAGAGAGTCCCCGTGGAGCCCCTGCACCACTCCTGATGGGTCACGTCAACACTGATAGCTCCAGCTGAGCTTACGTCATCTCAGGCTACGGAGGATGGAGCCGAAGCTCGTCCTCCCTGCATTTGGCTCGCTCCCGGGCGCTGAGAGCCAGGCGTCACTGGGGCCTGGGGACCGAGAGGGAACTTCTGGAGAGACGTGGTCCCAGCTCCACTGCTCACTAGCTGGTGACGCTGAGCAGTGGCCTGACCTCTCTGTACCTCAGTTTCTCCATCTTTACAGTGGGAGTCTCAACGTTCCTCACTTCATTGGATAGTTCTGAGGGAGAACGCGTGTGGTGCTGTGTCTCTCCGCTGCCCCTGCTGATGGTTGCAAAGACACTTCCTGGCTCTGACAGGCCTTCTCAGCTGGAAGCCTGAAGTTCAAGCAGGGTGGATGGAGACTGCAACTCCTGGTGGCTTCTGCTAGTGGCAAACCCCACACTTCCTGTATTCATATGTCACAGAGCCCAGCTTCGGCCCCTCCTGCCCTCTCCACCCCCAGATCAGAGCACCGACCTGTGTCAGCCTTGACGTCCCTTTGGGCCCCCTCCTAGCCAAACCCCCAAAGCTACTGTCTTCTACCCCATCATTTGTTTTGTCTGTTCTTGAACTTGATATAAATGCAATGCCCCAGTGAGTCCTCTTCTGAGTCTGGCTAATTCTGTTCAATGTTATGTCTATGACATTCATCGGGGTGTTGCCTGTATCAGTAACTCCCTGTTTTTGTTGCTGAGTAGTAGTCCACTGTATGGATGTGCCACAGTCTGTTCATGCATTCACCTGTTGATGGACAGCTGTGTTGTCCTCAGTTCTTGACCCCTGAGTAAAACTGCTCTGTGCACTCTTGTACGTGTCTTTTGATGAATACACACTCATTCTCGTTGGGTAGGTACCTTGAGTGGAAATTCTGCGTGGTAGGGGAGGCCTATGGTCAGCATTAGCAGATATGGCCAAGCAGGGTTCCAAAGCCGTTGTAGCAATTAAGCCGCCCACCTGCAGCGAGTGAGAGTTCCAGTGGCTCCACGTCTTCAGCAACACTTGGCATTGTCAATTTTGTTGATTTTGCCTACTCCTCTCACCAGAGTTTGAATTTCTTAGCAATCCTGTTCACTCTGGCCAGCCTAGAAATGTGAACTGGAAACAGATGATTTCCTGCTGGGTAGAAAACACCCCTTTCCCCTCTTGCTCATTCACCTGCACTTTTTGTCTTTGGGGAGAATGTGCAGAGAATTTACAAGACATTAGGTAGCTTTTGGGATGGTCCCCAAAGATCATGGCGTCCTGGCGTTCAGGCCAGTGTGACCCCCTCCACTGGAGTGTGGGCCGGACCTAGTGACTCACTTCCAACCAATGGAGTACAGCCAGGGGCATGGGGTGTCACTTCTGTGATTGGGTTATAAAAGACAGTGACTTCCAGCTCCTTGCAGACTCCCTCTTGCTGGCCTTGATGAAGCACCCTGCCCTATAAAGAGGCTCACGTCACAGAACTGAGGGTGGCCTCTGGCCAACAGCCAGCAAGGAACCGAGGCCCCCAGTCGACAGCTGTCGAGGACCCGAATCCTGCCCACAGTCACAGTGAGCTTGGAGTAGATCCCACACCCATTGAACCCTGACTGCAGTCTGAGGAGGAGGACCTCTCCAAGCTGAGCCCAGATTCCTGACCCACAGAAGCTTTCAGATGATAAACGTGTGCTGTTTTGAGCTGCTACCTTGTGGAGTAATTTGTTACTCAGCAAGAGCTAACTGATACAAGTGAAAAGGATATTCAAGGATATTCTCAGGGAGAGAAAATGTGCTGGGTTTTCAGGTAGCATTCATATGATGCTCTATTTATCCTAATAAACTCAGTTTTGCCTCTCAGGTGGTCTGAGACTAAGTTCAATTTGCACTGTACTTAGAACCATCCTGAAGATGGAGGGCTCATGAAGTCTTTTCAAAATACTTTTTTCACCCAAAATATCTTAAAAGGTGTTAATAAAGTGTTCGTTGTGTTCAGCAATCTCCTTCAAGGTGGCATCTGGCCTTCCATTCTAAATGTCATCAGCACAGAGGACCCCAACTCCATTCTGCCACTTTCTGAAGATTTTATGTGCAGAAGTAAAGGAGAGAGACCAGTTGTTGTATTGAGGGGTCAACAGTGGTGATACCTGTGTGATAGGCAGGGTGTTTGGCACACGATGGTCATCCAAAAATCTTAGCTCTTCTCGACCACAAATAGTGCAGTTAAGTGCCTCCAATATCCACTCATGCCTGCTGTTGCAAAAATGCAACACAGCTGGAGTAGATGCTATCTGTGCCTCCCTCCCCATCATCGCCTCCACATTCCTCTCTCCATGATGAAGATCACTGCACACATCAGGAGTGTGCAGAGCTGGTGCCCAGGGAAGGCCAGAAGTGTGAGGGGTTAATTCCTCCAGAAGCAGCTCTCAGCCAGTGCCTGATGGAGGTCAGAGGATAAACACCCCAGCCCCTGAGTCCCTGGGGTGGGACCTGGGACCCCAGCTGGACGAGACCTGGTTGCCCACAGTGTTGTCTGCTCATTGGTGCCCCCTGCAGGGCTCCAGGGCCCCCTGAAGTCACCTCCCAGGCAAATGAATAACATCCCGGAAATCATCTCCGGGTCTAATGACCCCAAATCAAGGCGGCATCTTTGACAGATGTCGTCCACACCCCAAAAACCCCAGGATGCCGACAGCTGCTTGCTTTGCGAGGCCTGTGGAATTACTGGAAATGTTGATGCCTTTTCCAATTTGGTCCTTGTAGCTGTGTTTGGTGGGTGGGGGAGGTTATCTCATTTTATGAAGAAGGAAACAGAAGTAGCAGGTCACACGATTGTTCCCTGAGCCAGGGCTGTCCCAGCTCCTGGAGCGCCAAACCCTCATCAGATACCCGGGACATGGAGAGACCTGAGCATTTGCCTGCAGCCCCAGGACCAGCCTCATCCCTCCTCCCCTGACTCTGGCCAAGATACGAAGATGCTGGGCGCCCGTCTAGGGCAGTGCCCATGAGGGGGGGCAGGCTTCAGTGGGGACTGTGGCCTCCCAGCCAGCCTCCCAAGTTGGAACCTCGCAGAGATTCCAGGGCTCCAGTTCTGGGTCCCAGGAGGATGAGCAGGGCTCAGACTGGGGTGAGGTGAGCGGATGCACAGGGCACAACGCCTAAGGGGCGCTCGTTTCACACTCAGAGGCCCGCCTGCGCCTGCAGGAGCCTGCGGGTGAGCGCCTGCTGATGTTTTCTCAGTTGAAGTGAAAGTCACACAGGGGCGGCCTGGTGGCGCAGCGATTAAGTGCACCCACTCCACTTCGGCGGCCCAGAGCTCACAGGTTTGGGTCCCCAGCAGGGATCAACGCACAGCTTGTCAGCCATGCTGTGGCACTGTCCCATATAAAGTAGAGGAAGATGGGCACAGATGTTAGCCCAGGGCCAGTCTTCCTCAGCAAAAAGAGGAAGATTGGCATCAGATGTTAGCTCAGGGCTAGTCTTCCTCACAAAGAAAAAAAAGAGGAAAAAAAGAAAAAATAAATTCACACAACACAGAATTCACCATTTTAAATTGTACAATTTATGGGCCGGCCCCGTGGCTTATTGGTTAAGTGCACGCTACGTTGCTGGCAGCCTGGGTTCGGATCCCGGGCGCGCACCCACGCATCGCTTCTCTGGCCATGCTGAGGCCGCGTCCCACACACAGCAACTAGAAGGACGTGCACAACTAGAAGGATGTGCAGCTATGACGTACAACTATCCACTCGGGCTTTAGGGGAAAAAATTAAATAAAAAAAATTTAAAGTGTACAATTTAGTAGCATTTAGTGCATTGATTATATTGTGCAACCATCACCTCTATCTAATTCCAGAACATTCCATCACCCCAAAAGAAGACCCTGTGCCCATGAGCAGTTACTCCCCCCTCCCCAGCCCCTGGCAACCACTAGTCTGCTTTCTGTCTTTATGGATTTGCCTGTTCTGGACGTTTCATGTAAATGTGTCTGTCTTCTCTCACCCAGCATGATGTTTTTGAGGTTCATCCACGTTGTAGTGTGTGTCAATGCTTCCTTCTTTTTTATGGCTGAGTAATATTCCAGTGTGTGGATGGACCACATTTTGTGTATCCTTCACCTGTTGATGGACATTTGGGTTGTTTCCACCTTTTAGTGATTGTGACTAGTGCTGCTGTGAACACGTGTGTACAAGGATTTGTTTGAACACCTGTCTTCAGTTCTTCTGGGCTTCCTTAAATTTTGCACCCCCACTCTAGTTTCTGGCCTTGGGGACGAGTTGAGGCGTCCAGCTTCTGGTTCCCCTTACCAGTCCAGGGGATGAGGCATTCCGTGCCCACAGCCAGCTGGGGTCCTTCCTCCTGGCGCTTCTCTCTCCCCCACCCTCAGAGCCCCCTGGGGCCTGCCCCATTCCAGAGAGTTCTCAAAAATGGAGTCTCCAGTGTGTCCCAGGTCCCTGCTATGTCCAGGACCCCTATGTGACGGGAGTCCTCACCACTGCCATGTGTTCTCACAGAAGTGGCCTCACTTCTTGGGCCTCAGTTTCCCCATCTGTAAGTGGGGTTTTTGTGAGGAGTGACTGAGGCCAAGAAAGCGCCTGGCACCTTCCAGCAGCACCAGGTGTGTGATGAAGAAGTGACACGGATTCTTATTTTATCCTCTTCGTTGATATTTATCATGCTTGCCAAGAGCCCATGCTTACTGGTGCGCCACGTGCCAGGGGCCAGGCGGGGCGCTCGCTTGCGTTAGCTCTTCGCCCACTCCACCAGCCAGGAGGAGGTCTGTGCAGCTTCCTGGGGCCCAGGGGGGAGGTGGCCGAGGCCAGCAGGGCACCCAGGTCTGTGTGATCTGATCAGCTGGGTCCCTGCTGGGCACTGTCACCTCTCTGCCCATTGGGAAGGGTCCCAGGGGGGCTTCGTGCCACTGTGTGGCTGAGCCTCCTCCACTCCCTGGGCCCCGGAGTCCCTGTGTGGCCCAGGAAGGGACTGGTTGGGAGACTTCTGGGGACACCTGTCTGTTTTGGGGTGGGGGTGGGGGCCAGGCCATCCCCACCCTCAGTGAAATTTACATGCGTGAAGATTTGTGGGACATGGGTCCCAGACTGGGGTCTACAAAGGCATACCCCTACCCCCACTCTTGCCCTCACACCCCACTCCTGTCACCCCACCCCTCACTCCAGGCCTGGGCTTGGCCACACAGCACGTTTGGATGTGGCTCAAGTGACATGGAGATAGTGAGTCGGAGTTTATTTGCAAGTGGTGCAGGACGGGAGGGGGCCAGGGCCTCTGGAGACCCTGGGGCTCCGTTATCCACTCCCAGCCCTGTCAGATCCGCGACCCCCGAAACTGGCCATCCACTGGCCTTTCCCTGTCCCCAGGCACCCTAATCGACAGCGGCACAGGGCTGCATTGAGGACCCACTGTGCACAGGCCCCCAGAACGGCTGACACCGAGTCTCACGGGATCCCCAGGAGAGGTACTGCCCCCCACCACTTTACAGATGAGGAAACTGAGACACAGAGCAGTGAAGCTCTCAGCATGGACCCACAGCCAGGAGTCTGTGTCCGGCCCTCCAGGTGCACCCGTGGCCCTGGGCTGCTCTGAGTTCAGCACACACAGGTTTCAAATGCTCACAGCCAAGAAGGAGTCGCAGAGTCTGAGACTTGCACTGTCAGCAGCATGGGGGTTACAGGACCCGGGTTCGAATTCTGGCTCTGATGCTCAGTACTGGCCATGGGACCCCTGGGGAGTCACTGCCCTCTCTGGGCCTCAGTTTCCTCATCTGTAAAATGGATAGAGACGTTTAGAGAACCACTGCCTCAGCCCCACCCTCCCCTCCTGCCTATAACAGAACCTCATTTATCTGGTCAGCCACATTTCCCAGCCTTCCCTGCAGGAAGGTGTGGCCATGTGACTGTATTCTGGCCAGTGAGGTATAAGCAGAAGGGTCCCAAGACCTCCTAGAAGACTTCCAAAAGATCCTGAGCCAGCCCTGGCCTCTGCCTTTCCCTCTGAGTTAGGAGGTGAAGGCTGGAGCCCTGGCAGCCATCTTGTGCCAAGAGGCAACATTGAGGACAAAAGCCAGGGATGCCGTGAACTGAGAAATCAAATCATACTGCTACTGTGGGTGAGCCTGGACTTATCTCTACAGGGTCCTCTTCCCGCTGTCTGACACCAGGTCTCTATTCCGGATCTCTGGGCTCACACCAGTGTGGAGTCCTTCCCTGAGCCCCCAGGCCTGTGGCCCAACAGCTGTGCATCTCATGGGTGACCCCTTCCCAGTGCACCCCACTGGCTGACAGTGTCCGGCGCATGAGAGGTGCAGGCAGGCTGCTCTCTCGGCCTCCCCCCAGGTCTGCAGGTGCTGTGGCAGTAACTGTGGGTCTGAGGGAGTCCCCAGGTTCTGGGCAGAATGAGTAGGGGGTCCAGCGGTGGGTACCCTGCTGGGGCTGAGCCCCGGCGCTGGTCTTGGAGACTTCAGCAGCGCGGATGGGGTCATCTTCAAAGTGCGGTGGGGACAGCTCATGGAGGCCATGACGGGTGGCCCGGGACAGCTCGGAGCAGAGTGTGGGTCAGCACAGCCACCAGGACCAGGGCACCTGCGCCGAGGATGGAGGCGGCCGCTGCACCTGTCTCGATCTCGAAGAGCAGCAGGGAATAGATGGACAGTGCTGGGGAAACAAATGGCTCCAATTTATTCAGTCAACAAACGTTTGCTCCCCAAGCCTTGAGAGAGCTCCCCCAAACCGGGGAGCAATCATAGAAAACCATACAACATGACAGGCACATAGATCAACTCATCTAATCCTCTCGCACCCCACAGATAGATCAACATGTCCATTTTACCATAAAATGGTAAATTCTGTTATGTATACTTTACCACAATTAAAACCCAGATCTCAGGCTTTCTGAATCCCTGTGACTGACCTGGAGTGACTCACAGCCCCTCTCTGGCCTCAGTTTGCTGATGGGAACGAGACAGTTGGTGACCTGATCTTGGGGACCTGTGCTGGCTCTCTGTTGCTCTACCCAGCATCCGGTTGGCACTATTCTTTTCAGTGGAGACTGTCCTGTAGGACATTTAGCAGCTTCTACCCACCACATACCAGTAGCATAACCCTTCCCCCACCCTGTCGTGACAATCAAAAATGTCTCCAGATATTGACAGATGTCCCCTAGGGGCAGAATCGGCCCCCACTGAGAACGGCCTGTCCAGTCCCTGCCCCTGCCCTGGCTGCGGGTCTGGGAGCACTCACCCACCCCTTTGGCATCAGTGAGGTGTATGGTGCTAGGCCTGGCCAATCAGAGCATGGCTTCCCCTGGTTGTAGTGATTGGAGCAGGGCTATCACATGACCCAAGCTCAGCCAATCAGAGTCAGCCCTGGGACTTCTGCTTGGGCTACGGGGATGGAGGAATTTTCTTACTGCAGCAGCTGGTGCACCAGTAGGACTGAAGCGCAGAGCTGATGGAGGACTTCTTGGCGCTTTGTGGGCTGTTTTTATGCTTTCTCTGGCTCTGCACTAATTTATTTATTTATTTATTTATTCCCCCAAAGCCCCAGTAGACAGTTGTAGGTCATAGCTGCACATCCTTCTAGTTGCTGTATGTGGGACACGGCCTCAGCATGGCCGGAGAAGCGGTGCGTCGGTGCACGCCCAGGATCCGAACCCGGGCCGCCAGCAGCGGAGTGCGTGCACTTAACTGCTAAGCCACGAGGCCGGCCCTGGCTCTGCACTCTTGCTTTTGAAGATGGCACACTGCATCATGTCTGACATATTAAAGTGAGGCCAAGGACTTTTTTTGCTCTGAACACTTTTAAAAAGGTCTTTATAATGATTCTTTCGGCTCTGGTTAGCAACAAATGGATGATTGGCTGGATGGGCTCGAGAATTCTTGCTGAGTGAGGTCACCTAACCTCAAAAAGAATCTAAAGGGGAGCTAAACCAATTCTTAATTTAACGCTTAATGAGGCTGACGTAGTGACCTTTTTTGCCCTTTGTGAGTTTTCTTGTCTTTAGGAATGAGGATATTTTATTCTCCAAGTCTCCAACATTTCTGTTGGCCTGTGAAAAGGCTCAAGGTCGTAAGCATTGTGTCAAAAGCACTTACAGGTACAGGCGTCTTTCTCAGGGGACAGCAGGCGAAGAGGGGAAGCGAGAGAATTTTTTTTTTTCTTGGTGAGGAAGATTGTCCCTGAGCTAACATCTGTGCCAATCTTCCTCTATTTTGGTTGTGGGACACTGCCACAGCTTGGCTTGATGAGCGTTGTGTAGGTCTGTGCCCATGATCTGAACCCACGAATCCCAGGCCACCAAAGCAGAGCACATGAACTTAACCACTGGTGGTATACCAGGCTGGCCCCAGTGAGAGGCACTTCTGATGACCTCATTTGAGCACCTGGATCCAGCCATACCTGAGGCCAACAACCCCTGATCTTTTTAGATATACACCAGCCCATCCACTCTTCTTTTTGAAAAACCCACCTATGGAGTATTTTATTAAGTCAAACAACAAAAGTTATGCAGAACTCCCTCCACTTTATATACAAATTCCCACAATGAACCCAAGCTCACATCTCATCAATAATTTTAAACATATCTTCTAAACTTCTATTTCTCTATTGTGGGACTAAGAAAAAAAACAGTAATAGCAAATCTCTTTTTTTTCATTCAGCTGAATATTTTTTTCTTCCAGTGACACAGGTTGTTTATAGCGCTGCCAGGGATCTATGTCTCATTCAGCACTGAGTTTGCACAACCATCAACACGTTTTTCAGGATTACAACACAATATAAGAAGTCAGGAGTCTCTTTAAAGAAACTTGATGATTTGATTTCTTTACCAGCACATGAAGATAAGAGAACATCAATCTAAGAGAAGCTATTACTGGAGGTTCTGCTATTTGTAACCAAAACAGTTTTGCTAAGGCCAACACTATCTCCAGAAACCACCAAGGACATGGAGACTTTTGTTCAAGCCAAATGTAGAAAGCTGATGAACCGGAAGTGTTTTGAAGACAACCACCATCTGTGGAAGCCCCCATGGGGTCAGATGCCATCCATGGGCCTTGATGGGGATTAACTCAGAACCCCTCAGGACTTCTCCGAGGCAGGACAGTTATCACCCCCACTGTACCGATGAAGAAACTGAGGCACCGAGGGAATGTGCACAAGGCCCCACAGCAAGGAGCGCCAGAGCTGAGAGTTGAACACAGGCAGGCTGACTCCAGAGCTGCCCAGTTATGGGGCCATTATCCCTCACCCAAACCCAGGGCCCTACACCCCACGTTCTATCCCCCAGCACACACCTGCTAAGTGGACGGAGACCCCACAGCAGAAGAGGCCAAGGGCCATGTGTCTGAGGAGGCAGCAGTCATAGAGAAACCAGTCAGACCTGGGTGTGGGCGGGGGCAGGAAGGAAAAGGGCTCAGCAGGTGAAGCTGGTGGGGGAAGGCCAGGGAGGAAAGGGAGGGAGGGAGGCCCAGCTTTGGGGCATCTGAGATCTATGTGAGGACCCAACCATCCATCCATCCATCCACCTCTTCACGCATCCACCCACTCATCCATCTTTCCAGGTAAATGTCCACCACGATTTACCACCCATCCATCCCCATCAACTTTTCAACCATAGAGCCATCCATCCATTTAACCATGCCTTATTAATCCATCCATCCATTTATTTCAACAGCCACCATCTATCCATCCATCTATCCATCCATCCATTTGCCAGTCACCATCCATCCACCCATCCATCTATCCATCCATCCGTTCTCTACCCACCCAACCATCCGTCATCTATCTCCCATTCACCATTCAACAATCCAACTATCCATGCCTCCATCCGTTCCCCACCCACCCATCCATCCATCATCCATCTCCCAGCAGATCCAACCGACCATTCATCTGTCCATCAATCCATCCCTCAGTCACCACCCATCCCATCCATCCACCATCTATCCCCCTCCCTCACAACCCATCCATATACATCAGTCCATTCCAACATCCAGCACTCACGAAGCAGCTGTTATGTATGGACACTTGCCAGACACATGACTCCCATTATTTTACAGACCATAAGCTTATTTGGGAGATGAGGAAGCTGAGACTAACTTGCTACCAGTGATGACAGAAACAGAGATTCCCGGGGGCTGACACCGACAGAGGACTTGGTTTTGACCTGGCATCATGCTATGTGCCTCAGCTGTGTGCACTCCCTCCCTCCTCCAGTCTCGTGAGATCAGGCACAGAGGCTGAGAGCTTCCATCCTCACTCACCTCCCACCAGCACAATGGAAGTGGCCTTCCTCCTGGTCTCCCTGCCACCTCCCCTCCTGGCCCCTTTTCTGCACAGTGGCCAGAGGGAGTTATTCCAAACCTGTCAGATCACAGCCCTTCTGCTCACAGCTCTCTTAGGCAGAGTAAAAGCCCAAGTCTTCCCCACGGCACAGGAAGCCCTACATCGTCCAGTTCCTCCCCCTTCCTGCCCTTATCTCCTCCTCCAGCCACACCAATCACCTCTGTCTGCCTCTAACACCCTAAGCTCATTCCTGTCCCATGGCCTTTGCACATGCTGTTCCCTCTGCCAGACAGTCCCCCAGATCTTTTGCCTCCTTCCCTCCTTCAAGTCTCAGCTCAGGCTCCCCTGATGGCTCCATCTCACCCCTATACCCTGTCCTTCTCCACCACATCAGCCCATTTTCTTTCCTTCCCAGCATTCGTCACCATTTGATGACATTGACCTGTTTTGTTTCTTTATTGTCTGTGACCCCATGAGGGCGGGTCTAGGTCCGCCTGGTTCTTGCTGTGTCTTCCAATGTCCAGGCATTTCAGCACACCTCGAACTATGGGGTGGAGGGTGCACAATGGTGGAAGGTCCTATTTGCTCAAATCAATGAAATCTTGGACCAGGATCCTGGCTCCCCTCCCCCAGCATCCTGGAAGGAAACACTGGGACGTGGGCCAACCGAGTCCTTGGCTCAAGGAAGGTTTCTCACTCCACATTCACTGCCCCGATAGACGCCTCTGTGGCACCCACGTCCCCGAGCTCCAGTGTCTCGTGAAGGAACCCCACCCTGAGCCTGGGCACAGGGTCTGGCTCTACTGGATTCAAGTTCAAATCCGGCCCACCCCCTTCCAAGCCTGGCAGCCTGAAGAGAGCAGCCTCCTCCGTCTGAAACGCAGTTAAGAAGGGAGACAGCAGCACCGCCGTCTGGGGCTGGCGGCCTTCACTCAGCTCATCCGCGCAGAGCGGGAGGCACGTAGGACTCAGGGTTCCGTAAATGACGAGCCTCTCAACACTGGGGCTAGCTGACTCGGCCCTCTCTGAGCCTCAGTTTCCACATCTGTAAAATGGGGTCGAAGCAGTAGTCGTACCTGCTGTAAAATTTCAACAAATATAGGATGGACAGAGAGAAGACAGAGGGAGGGACGGATGAACGGAGGGAAGGAGGAAGAGAGGGAGGGAAAGATGCCCGGAGGGAGGTAAGCAAGGTCTCCCCCGGCCTGAAGCCCGAGCGGGGCAGCGGGTCGCCCAGTCTCGCCCGGCCCCAGCCGGCGGCGGGCCGGTCCTCCCACCTGCCGGAGCCGGGCCCC